CTGTTCCCTTATAAATGCCAAGTAACCTCCAATGAATAAAAATATGTCAGCCCTACTAGAGCTGTAGAAATGTGAATATACCCCAACACTCTGGAACAGCTGAAATTTCAAATCCAGTCTTAGGTCCCAAAGTGCTGCACCTACATGACATTGCTCGTTCTTCAAGAACGTCAAGAATGGATTAAAGTAATGGGAATCTTAGTATTTCTGATTACTCCTGCATAGGAAATCCTTAGGTATGTAATAATTCAAATGTTACTATGATCTGTCTATTAGCAAAAAATTTCTTACTGGCCTTCAATAAACCACTGAACTTTCTTATATACTTTAGTAATACATACTCATCATTCAGTTTGCCAGTTTCTATGTTCCTTCAGTTATAATTTCAATGTGTCCCAGTTGACTCTTCTACTATATACTCAATTTTATATCCAATAAATAACTTACTTTCTTGTATTGCATTAAGAATTTCTGAAAAGTCCACATCTGTCTTCTGTACGTCTGGTGTTATCCATATTTGCGTTTCCAACTGGTTACCCTGCAAATCCTCTCTTCCTTCTGAAGAAATTGAAGAGATTGATGGGGTTTGTGACAATGCAGCAGAAAATCCAGCCAAGGGGCTTTTAGGTTTGAGGGTACATTGGAAAAAACTACCTAGATTTTTTTCTTTCCCCAACAGAATAAATTTTTCCTCAAACCAAGCAGCTTTAGACATAGTATAGACTCAACAGATTTAAAACTAAATAGAACAAAATGACAACATTTTCTGCTATCAGCAGATTGATAGTCACCGCTGTTGAATTCGTCATTCATATAAACACCTGCCACCATGCCATGAGTGCCCCCTCACTGTACCATCTACAAAACTAACTCCAAAATGTGAAAACAGACAAGAGACACTGTTACAAACGACACAGGACTACAGTAACAGCTAGACTAAAATAAAACACACTAACACACAAAACACAAATTAAGTCTCAAGACAGAAAACAACCATTAGGAAGAAAAGAGCATGGACAGCATGTTTCAGTCATAGGATGCCATAAGGTCTCTTATGCCAAGGTGATGGCATACCACGGTCTAGGAAGAGCTCCAGCACTGCAGTACACTTTGAAAGGGGTCACAAGGATAGGTAATGGTTGCTGTGATGTCAGTTCAAGACCATTGCCGGATGCAGCACTTTTTAAATAGAAAGATAGGCTAGCAGGTCACTGTTTCAAATCTGTTTGCACATGTAAGCAGGCACAAGATTTGCCCATTTTTCAGGAGGCAATGTTCTTTCACATGAGCAAAAAAAGCAGAAAGTTTTGAAAACACACCCTTTCTGTGTAGACCCATAGCCAGAAAATGTGGCCGGACATTCAGGCTTGAACTGCTGGCTACAGGGTACTCTGAGGCAGCCAAAGACAAGGAGGGAGTGACCGGGCATATGGCAGGTTTTCGAAGAACGGCAGCAAAACCTGACATTTCGCAAATGCATCTATTTATTAGAAGCGGCGCTCTTGCGTAAGCAGTACACAGAGTTAGCAAAGAGTTGCAGTGGTCAGGAGATACCTAAGATGGGACTTCAGAACAAAGAGGTCATGGCAGAAGAACAAGCCATCAGGTCATTTAGTCTATTACTGTGCCTTCGCTAGTGGCCATCTTTCCTGCTTTTGATGGAAGCAATTTCCTTTCCTCTGCAGTCTATCTAGAACAAGTTAGCTTTCTTCTGAATTCCTTCCTAATCCAATTTATCTTTTTTTTTTTTTTTGGGGGGGGGGAGGGCTACAAAGTGATTACCTCACCAGTGCCTTAATGAAAGTTGTTACAAATTATATTCCTGGGTACAAAATTACTCCATGCTACTTTGAAGTCCATACTTCATTTTTTTAGAAATACAAGTCTCAAAATGAGTATGTACCAGTTTGGATCTTTTTTATTTCCCAATGTTAAAATATTATAAATATAAACTGTCTCATGTTTGCCCCAGTGTATTCTTTTGTTCCACAGAAGAGACTCACTGTTTACATCAGAGACAGTTTCCCTTATAGATTCCTGTAAACGGTCTGTCATAGCAGCAGCAGGAGTCAGCATTTAATGATGTAGAACAAAGAGAATTTCTTAAGTGAGACAGCTGATTATTTATATAATAGCAGCCTAGGGAAAATCTGCAGATGGCCTCAGAAGTGGGAGTCTCAGAACTGCCCCAAAAGAGACTTCTGGGGACTAAGGAAAAATACTGCAGCTGCTGGAAAAGACTTACCAACAATAGGACGGAGGTAGAGAAGTGAGCAATAGACAGCAATTCAGTAAACAGCTTTGTCAGTGATACCATTCAATTTCTTGTTAAATACTCAACTGTCACTTTTTAACATATGCATATTTGAATCCTCAAATCTGCCAGCCTGTCTCCTCCATTTGAACCTTGGTTACAGCCAAATAACAACAACTCTGACAAATACAAATACTTTTTCCTCTTTTGTTAACACCCAAATCACTGCTCCCAAGAAGACATGAAGGCGACAGATCTCTGCAGCATCTCCAACAGATCTGAGCCATTGGGCAGGGAGGGAGGCAGTGAGAGCCAAAGCAGCTCTCTCAAACAGCCTCTCAGCAGCAGATCATCCCACCAACCAAGGGGCTGTGGCCACAATATCCTACTGATGCCAATGTGGCAAATGCAGCAGGAGGGCAAAAGAGGTTCAGCCCAAGGTGGTCTGGGAATGGTGTTAGTTGGGGTGCCGAAGATTTAGAGCAAAGATCAGCCAGCAAGGAAAGACCTGAACTGCTGATGTCAAACATATATCTAATAAACAGACCTACTGATAAAATGAAGCTGTCAAAGAATGTATATAGTTAATTCCAAAGTCACTTTTTTTTTTTTTAATTAATGAAAAATACTGGCCAGAAGGTGCCCATAAAATGCCCAACCTAAACCAAACTGTTGTCCAACCTAAAACAACCTATAAAGCCAAGAGGAATTTTGCTACTTTCTTCAATGAGTTCAGCATTGTCGCTCCTGTATTTGGCCCATTTCAGTACGGGGAGCTTCCAGCATTTCAGTATGGACACAAACAACAATCTCATAAGCTCCTGTGTTTCACAGTAGCCTTAATACCTGGACTCACTGCACAAATATCAGACCAGCAATATCATCCAGGCTGATTTCATTCCAAATCAGAGACATCATCTTCTACCAGACATTTGCAATTTAATACAAAGTTAATCACAGTCTGGTCTTCACCAAAAAAAGGAGACCAAGAAATGCATCTGCTAGTAACGAACATCTTCAAAATAACTGGTTACAGGAAAGCTTCCCTCTCCCCTATTCTTCACAGTGTCAATAAACGGAGTTGAATTAGGACAGGTTCCTTCTTACCCTCCTCTTCCTCCCTCAGCATCCACTTTGTAGGAGGGAATGCCATATTTTCTTGTTGAGGGAAACCACCCCTATGTGATGGGGATGGACTGGCCAAATTAATGACTTCTGATTTGTTGGGGGAACACAGTTGTTAGCCCAGGAGCTATTTGGAAAAGGTATAACGTTCTCTCCTACGTCCATTTATTTTCTAGATTTTACCATAATTCTCCAGGGTAACAAATCTGGATATTTTCCAGTGCCACTGTTGCTATAAGGGGATCAGTAGCCTCGCTTTAGCACCTCCTTACTTCAGCAGCTGCAGTGTCTCTGCTGATTCATGCCTTCTCAGTGGTAGATCCCACTGACTAAACTCTAAGTAATATTGCCTGGAAGGCTGGGAGGGAAAGACCTTTTCTCCACAGCAACATTAGAAATAAACACATGTAAGAGTGAATATTGGTAAATATTAGATTTACTAAACTTTCAGTGGTTTTATTAAAAGATCAACCTGAGATTTTTCTTCAGTTCACTGTGACATTTTAGTCCATTTTAAATGAGCTCATGGCGCTGATATACTCTTTGATGCATAAAGTAGTGCATAAAGTAGCATACCATTTCCTTTATTTGTTTTGAAAGGACTCTGCTAATCAGGTTAGGAAAACAACTCAGATTTTTAAAAAGGCATCTCATTTTTAGAGGCTGAATGAGATGGTTTGTTCTAAACTGGAATTTTAATTTATTCTAAATAATAAAATGATCGTATGTATCAAGTAAGGGAAATAAGTAGCAAGGTACTAATTACGGTGCTAGTGTTAAGCCAGCTCCTTCCCACTGCACTGACAGAGTTTTCTATCTCCTAAAAATTATGAATATACTAAAGCACTTCGCTGCATGAGGGCCTTGTTGCTTCTAGCATCTATCCAAGTAGGACAAGTAACATTTCAGATGTGGCCTTCACAAGCAACAGCTCCTCTTCTTGCACAGTATACATTTGAAGCCAGATTTTCAAAGTCTGTGCATTTTTACACATGCACTGTGGTGTGCAAATCCTATTTGTAGATGGTTACGTGCACACTGCAGTCTGAAACTGAGCATGAGCACTTGGGTACACAGACGAATGCACATATTATTTTCGGTATCTGGCATCAACATAGCATATAAATAGGTTGATCGAGTAAGCGCTGCTATTGCTTAATACGTAATAAAGTGTTCATATTTACTTAATAAATCTCAATAATTTTGAATGGGTGTGTGAGAACAGACCTGATTTTTGTAATTCACCGTGGCAGTCAGGGCTTCTTGAAGAATTTTGCCGCTTCTGATCGTTGGTCAGAGTAGAAATATTTAACTCTCCTGCTCTCTGTAATCACCGTCTTTCTTCTTCGTCCTCCCCTCAATTCCAATTAACTAGGCAAGTGAAAACAAATGTTTTCTCTGCAGCTGTAGAAGCTTCTGCAGAGAAAAAAACTTACAGCTTCAAAGAATTTCTCTGAAAAGGCACCTCACCAGTGACTTCTTTCTGTTCAGTGAGCTGAGAGTTTTGTTTCCTTTTGGCAGCAAACACACACCTCCACCATGGTTGTGTTTCAGCCTGGAAATGGAATAGGAGTGGCAAATAGCTAGGAAGCCGTGTGGGGAGATGCTTCTGCCACAGGGCCATCTACTGCCAACTAGACACTATTTAGCAAGAACAAAGATAATTCTAACGTTGGCAATTTTATTTTGCTTCATTAAGTACTGCCTGCAGTTTGTACAGAGAAGTTTCTCCTTCTCGCCAGAGGATCTTCTTTAAAGTAAGCAGAAAGCTGCGTGCATGGTGCCCTTTTCATTCAAGGCAACCATGGGTCAGCATGGGGCGAAGGATCCTCCTTGCAGGTATGTCTTCTACCAATTTCTCTCTTCCATTTGAAACGGAAATTGTTTAAACTATCTAGACATTTCAGTCAGAGCTGCACACACATGAAATCGATAGCTTTACTGATCTTGATTCCAGCATTATATTTTCTATGATAGGAATTAAAACGTTCTTCACAGTGGGTCTTCCCAGCACCCCAGGCACCCCACGCCTGTAACAGAAAACACACCTCAAATAGCTGAATGATGAACATATTGGTTCAATCACTGCCTCAGAAAGAAGAAGCTCTTCTCTGAGTCAGAGACTATATATATAGATATATATGTGTATATACACACATCTGTACACAAATATAAACGT